CTGAACAGCACAGTGATAAAAGAATTAAATTATCTAGCACCATCTTTTAGAGAAATCTGTATAGAAGTAAAAGTTTTAGATTTACGATAGATATATTAGATTAATTAAATTTTTATATAGATGTTTTCAGATTGTAATTCTTTTTTCAAATATATTACAATTTTTCATGAATATTATAAATGAATTATGTTATGTAATGTGAACAAAGTTTCCTTATCATACCAATCATCAGAATGATTCAAAATTATTGAATGTATAACGAAAAAATTTAAAAATTTAAGCAACTCTTTTTATGATATATAAATGAGAAACTTATTTTAAAAATTCAACAAAGTAGAAGCAAATTCTGAAATAGATATTCTGTTACATAATAATTGATATTTTGAGTCTACATTACGTCAATATGTTTGAATCTTTGTTTTTTATCGTTTTATTTTAATATATGTATAACAATGTTCTTTTTAGCAATTTTTGTCGTGCGATTTATTTGTAAACATAATGGTTAATAATAAGAATATATATGATTCAAAGCTAAATTATGAAACTAAATTTAATAAAATTATTCTGATAGCAACATACAATTTTCATATTATATCATATGAGAAAATAAGACATTTAAATTACAGATATGATATAACATGTAACGGAAATGTTCATCGTAATTTATCATAGAGTTATTAAAGCTTTATTTGATTTAACATGTTTAACATACAAATATAAATATATAATATATAATCCATTAGCATAATTACAAAACAATAAATAATAATCATCATGTAAATCAATTTAACATCCAAATTATACTATAGATATTTATATATAATTTGATGAATTATTAATGATTTATAAAACATATTAAACATAGCAATTCATTTAATTCATTGTGAATAATAAATATGAATTGAAATGCAAATTTCTACGAAATGAATTGATATGTATGAATGAAATATTGAAATTTTTTTGAACACAAATATATTTTAAATTAATATGTTATGGTATTTTCATATTTAATTTATCTTATTAATTTATCTTATTCTGAAAATTGTACATTTCCCTTTTTATCAACTTCTATAATATATATTATTTACTTAAAAAAAAAGAACAAAATTAAACTTGTAAAAGTATTATATATTCTTTATTTATCATTTCTTATTCTTTTATATGATGTAAAAGAATGTAAAAGAATTTAATACAAATTAAAAATTAAGATATTAATTAAAAATATTAAAAAAAGCTTCAGAACATAATCTAATTATTGGAAAAATTAGAAAAAATTTACTACAAAATACAATCAAGTATATAAAAATATTATTTAATATAATTATGAAATTGCAATATTTTCCATTATAATAGAAAAATACCAATTTATACAAAGCAATTGTCATTACTTGTAATATTCCACAGAATTTCAGAAAAAATTATACAAAACAAAACTTATAATAAGATACAAAATTATTCCATCCCATTAGTTTGATTTCAAATTACATAATATAAACATAAAAACATAATATAATAAAGCAAATCCATAAATTATTGAAAACGTACGAGAAGAAGGAAAGTTGCAATTACATCTTCTTAAATATTGAAAAAATATTTTAACGATGATAAAATACCGTATTATGATTTAATAGAAAATCTCAAGAGAAAACTACAATAAAACATATACAATAAATCCAATAAAGTATAACTTTGAATATCGTACAAGAAAAATTGCCTCGATTGAATACTTGCTATGCTTGCAAAATTATACAAGTGTTTGTATAATGAATCTTTAATGAGTTAATATTGATTAATCAATTATTTAAAATTTATTTAAAATTAATTATTTTTCCGATTAAATGAATTCCATGTTTCTAATTGATATTTATTTAAATGTATTATTATTAATCTAAACTGAATGTAATCTGATTGACTTTTATAGCGATTAATTGCAATTGTGGTGTCGATCTCATCTGATTTTGAAACATGGATCTTAATTCTTTCTCCAATATTAATTTTTAATGAAAATATAATAAGAGATGTAACTAAGAAGAATGAAAAACAACCAATAATCGCATTGGAGGAAGGTTTCCAAGGGTGAGTGTTGTAAGATAATAAAGTTAAGATTCTTTCTCTGGTGGTCGATCGGTCGAATAAATATGATTTACGAAATGATCATTGCTATAGTTTTTGTTATTAAAAGTTTAGAACAATGTGAGAATAATAAATTACTATTAAAAATCTAAACTATTGAAAATACTCAAGCTATTGAAAGATGAATTTTAAGTTATCTTAATTGCTTCATAAATCAGTTTCGGCTTTTTGTTCTTAAAATACAAATTGTTGGCGATTTCAAAATGGATTCATAACACTTACACAATAAATTAATAGATTTTTTTAAAAATAAAAGACAATAATCTTAAGCATAAAATAATACAAAACAGAAGATCGGATAAACTAGATTTATTATATTTATGAATGATACAAAAAAAAAATGACAATTGACAATTATCACAAAAAAGTATAAACAAGAATAAAAATTGAATCAATAATTTGAATCAAACCAAATAATTATAGCCTAAATAATAAGATAAAATACTTAGGAATCATATTGGACAAAAAACTAACATGGAGTTCTCATATGAAACACATAAAAAAAAAGCAATAGCTACAAAATTGTTATATTGGTTACTTAAATGGAAAACAAAACTAAAACTAAAAATTAAGCCATTACAGATATATAGAATAATCCTTTGAAGTACAGTTACCAAAAAAACTTAAAGAAAGCCAAAATAACTCAGAAACTCAAAATTATATTCAAGCATACCATGGAATATGAGAAACGAGGACATAAAGAAAATCTGAGATGCTTTATTAATAAAAGAAGCATTAAAAATAATGAAAGGCATAGAAAAAGAAAAATCCACCAATGAGAAATGCATGATACCAATATAAAAAAAAAATAAACCACGTAAAATACATTTATTGGATAACTATCCGAATAGATGTGTGGAATAAATATAAATTATAAGTAAGACTTGAATAAAGATATATGAATAAAAGAGATTTAAAAATAAAAAAAATTTTTTTCAAAATTTAAAAATTATTATTATTATCTGAATAATTATAAAAAAAATTATCAATATCTGATAATTATCATTTAATCGTCTTTCGCAGAAATCTTTCCCATTCTTTTTTTTTTTTGTATAAATTTTTAATTCAGACATATATATATAACGAAAAAATCTTTGTCTTTTCTCTAACAAAAAATCAATTTTTCAAAATCATTTATTCTCTGTTTATCGAATTAATTATCAAAAAATATCATTTCTATAATGATAATGACTTACCAATATTATTCGCAACGTTATTGTGATTGTATCTGATGAATTTGGACCAGTGTTCACTACGAATATGGAAATACAACATTGTACGTTCCATTTATGAATTCAAAACTACATCGATGAAATATCTTACATCATGCCTAATCTGAATAGAAAAAAAAAAAGATGGCAACATTTTAGATTTAAAGTTATAATTAAGATTAAACTTTGAAATCATAATACATTTAGTAACATAATTATTCCAACTATATGTATGACTATCATTAAACATTAGATATCTAGGGTTACGGAAATACAGAATAAGTTAAATATACTATTTATTTTAGAGATAAATCTTTCGAAATCTCGAAACTCTTCGAAAGTGAATTATTATATATTCTATATTTCGAAATTTTTTATAATTTTCACATAGTAAATTCATATGTGAAAAGATTCATGATATTTTGATTTAATACGAATGAAATGAACTTTTTTTAAAAAAAATTATTTTTATTTAGTTTCATTAAAAAGGATATTTTGATTTTATAGAATAAATAAAATATTATACTATTTATTAATTACAATTATAAAAATTTCGCACATTCTTTTATTAAAAATACATTTTTTTTTAAATTAATTATTTAAATGGGAAAATATTTTATTATGAAACGATTTCTTATATTGATAAGCTACTTTAAAAAGATAAAGAAATTAATTAAATTAAATTAATAAATATTATGCAATTGTATTTTCATGTAAATAATTGGATTATCATACAAAACAACAATACTAAAAAAAAAATTCGTTTAAAATAAAAATAAATTATAAAATAAATAACAAAAATAATTTTTAATATCTTAAACAAATCAAAATGTGTTATAGAACTAATACTCAATTTTTATAAAAAAATTGCTATTTTAATATTTTTATCATAAATTTCTAAAGTATCCGAATATTTTTGCGATGAAAAATATTTATTATTTCATTTTATTATTAAATTTTAATATTTTATTTTATTATATCAATTAAATAAGTCATTCATATTTATAATGTATAAATACTCTATATAATATAAAATATATCTCTTATAAAATATAAATAAATACTCTATCGAAAGGAACAAGTTTAAATTTATTTCTTCTATAAATAACATAGATATAGGTCATTGAATTCAAGCATATGTTAGTCTGAATATTTTTATAAGTAGATAAATAGATATTAAAATTTCAAATAAAATTATTTTAAATAATAACTTAATTTAAAATGTTGGAATAATATTTACATTGTAGCTATTATTAATTGATTCGCTCTTTATATCATTTCAATTATTCGATATTTTGAATAATAAATTATTGAAAAAACTCAATAAATTTGCCAATCTCTGCTTGTAGAACAGCTTCATCAACTGAAAAATTGGAAAGAAAAGATTGATGCCGTCTTATGGGAGACTATGTAAGTTTCCATCTACTCTCTTATAATATAATCCTGATCATAATCCAAATCGATGCTATAAACGCTGTTTTACTTCGCCAATTTGAAATCAGACTATTTATTTAAAACCCTATGTACAAACATACTATCCATAGAAATAGCGCATATTTGAAGTTTGTCATCCACATTTTCAGTATCAAATTATCTAAGTAAATCTCGAAAGTTCCACGATAAGATTAAAATAAATTGATTGAATCGATCGCTCACCCTGATCGTTGTTCGATCCACACTTATATGTATTTCTGAAGATAATTCTTTTCGCCGAAAATGACTAAAAACTATAGAATTTCTTTGAGAAGTCTGTCTTATGAGAGATCACTATCAATTGAAACTCTGAATTGGAGTTGGAGTAACAATACAAACTATTTCTAACTCGGTCAATCGAGTGATTTTATTTCCTTCTGGTTGGCCAACCAACATGTTGTCGCACGTGATTCTTGCAAGATGTACAAGTGTGTATATCAGATTATAGAAATAATCTATTATGAAAATGTACATACATAAATACATCTTTTTTCTATAGATCTTTCTGTTCTGAATTGCATACTCAAATATTATTGCGGAAGAAAATATCTAATGATATCTATAATTCCAGGAAAAACAAGTGAAAAACAATTTATTTTCTTCCATCAGGAACTGATTATCGTGATCATTAATCATCCCCCCTCTCCCTCTCCCTCAAATTTATATTAACAGACACATTAGATTTGAGAGATCATCATCGAGAAATGTTAGATAAAATTACTATTTTTTCGAATAACTTCATGTAAAAAAACTTTTTTGATCAACTTTTATTCTTTGACAAAATTAGTCCTTTGCTACATCGATTTTTAGTATCGATTATCGAGTATCCGTTTCAAACAGATATTGTAAATTCGATTGTGACAATCGCTTAATTGACAGCTTTCCGGAATTTCGAATTCACTTGATAGTAACGTCTATTCTGTTCTTTCAGTTCTATACTTAATATCCTTTTTAATGATAACAAAGCACTTATCATGCGATATAACCTCTATAAAAGATGATATTCTCTGTCTGAGTTTGTTCACTATAATAAAGATATCTCACAGAATTAAAAAATCATCTCTGCCTTATTTGTTTCAATGGCTTGTTGAAGCTCCATATCCAAAAACCGAAAGCGTCGATATAGTTGAGCAGCTTCCGCCATATATTTTTATCGCATAAGCATCGCATCCTTGATTCAGAAATTTCATAATTATCACTATATTGCATTTAAAAAATGAATCAGTCATTACACCAACTCGCTGTCTCATTCGAATCTTCAAATATTCTCTAATTCGGATTTAATAATACGATTATCTAGTAATACAATTGTTATCAAATCAAATTTTGCATCATTTTCATTACAATGAAATTAATATTCTTATCGATTTCTCATAAATTATGATTTATTAACAAAAATTTTTAGTTTTAAAATTCTCATGTTCAAATTATAAAATATTATAATCCACACGAATTTTCCTAAAAATAATCATATTAATATTCTTTGTATAATTACATTTATTTATTAATCAAGATAGAAAAATAAAAAATACACATGTTATTATTCTCTTTTATACTTTCATAATATTCTTTTACATCTCTTTCTTTTTTCTGTAAATTCTATCAATTAAGATCAGAATTTAAAAAACTTTTTATGACAAATGTAACAATAATAAATAATATTAACTCTGTTCAATTATTTTGTATATGAGAATTTAACCAGGTTTCTAATTTCCCACTATTCTTAGCTAACCATTTTATATTATTTGATACTGTTTCTAATGCTTTGGCACGATTCATAGCTCCAGCTCCAGCATCGGGATACTTAGCAAAAAAGTTTTCCATTTCATTTAATTTTATCTCCGTAGCAAAAGTCTTTGTAATAGATGGAATGAGTGAACCAAGATAGCGATCATTCAGAGTATATCTATTCACTAAGAATTCCCAATTGGAGCGTACCCAATCCCAGACTAATGGTGTTCCAACTGGATTATCTGAAATGGCTATTAAACAACTGAAGAAGTCTTGAGCACGAACATAATTTTCATCTGTAGCTGTTGTAATAAATCTATAAAAAGAAGACAAAAACATTGGTAAATATATAATAATATAAATGAATATATAATATATAATATATAATAAATTTTTATATATATATATAATATTTCTATAAATATTTGAAGTAATTTAAAAAGTAGAAGATTTTTTTTCTTTATGCAAAATTAATATTTTTATGTTATCAAAATATTATGAAACTTTTTAATAGGATGGACAGTTTAAGTACAAACTTTTTAAGTAAACAATTTTCTTAGCAAAATATCATTTTATGATTTTAGTACTTTTCTCAATATTTTAAATACATATATATATAATAGTGCAAGACAGAACAAAATTAATTATTAAATTACAAAATATTCATATTTTAATGTTTTATCTATATTGTAAAAAGTATTTTAGAATTAAAATTTGTATTAAAAAAATATTGACATCTTTAAAGTTATTTTATTTCTTTAAATTCTATTAAAAAATAAATTACTTCATATAAAATTCATTAAAGTATATACATATGAATTTTCATTCAAAATTTTTGGGTTGACTAAATTTTCTTGTAATATAACGTACATCATTTTGTCTCTCATTACTTAAATATTTTTGAATAAATTTAACAACTTACTCGTTCAAAATCCAGCTAGATTGTATTCCAGCTAATCCACGCATTAAATTCAATTTCTCTGCTGAATCAGTTTCAGTTACAAATCTTTGAAACATAATATCCCATGTATCTCTATCACCATCATGTTGTATTCCTGAAATAAAAATTACAATATATATAATTCATTTTTTATTAATACAATTTTTATTAATATTTTTTCTTTTTGTAAAATGCAAACATTATAGATATTAAAATTAAAAAAAATTAGCATAACTATAGGAAAAGAAATTTACCATAATAATAGATAAGATCACGAATATCAGGATGTGGCCGAACATCTTTGGGATCTAAAATCCAGTTTTTAAATAATTTTCCCGCTTCTTTAACACATTCATTATGTTCCACAGAACAAGCCAATCGTAAAATTGTTGTTCGAAGTTTTCTATGCAAGTCAGAATGAAATACAAATAAAAATAAATTAATGATTAATATGAAAATATAAAAAGATATTTATAATTATTTTATATTTATAATTAATTTTGAAATAAAAAAATTATTACATACTGAAAGATACGACTATCGGCATTGCTTACAGTCCATCCTACTTCATGGTAAACACTGTCTACTAAATCTCTCACATATTTCTAAAAAAAAAAAAAAGAAAGAAAGAAATAGAAAAAATTTATTTAATATTCATTTTTCTCATTAAAAAAATTTTTATAAAAATCTTAAATAATATACAAATAAAATGTTATATTTATACCTTGAATTTCAATGAGGAATTAGTAGACGATAACAAGATATCAATAGCTCTTAATTTTGAAGAAGCCACACTCCATGGGATAGCATGTTTTTCTCGAGGAAGATACTCAGTCATATTCATTGTCACTCCATAATCGAGTTCTCCAGCACTTGCTAGACTAAATGCATCTTCCAAAAGATGCACTCTATCAGATACTGATAATGTCTAATAATTCAATAAAAATTTTAATTAAAATATGAATATTTAATGAACATTTTAGAATCAAATCAAGTATAAATAAATGAATAAGAAATATCGTATCATGATCATATCCAATAAGTATTCCAATAAGTAACTTTTTGTATAAAAAAATCGTAATAACTTTCTTATAATAACTTAATAACACTATATAAAACGAAAATATAAAATTTAAAAATTTAAAAGCTTTTTTTATCTTTATTTTTAATCTTTTGTAAGCGTTAGATGAACAATTTTTTTTAATATATTTATATCATCATGCTTCAAAAAAAAATTAAATTAAAAATTAAATTATTTTTAAAACAATAAATGTTTAATATACAGGAATAATTTGAATTTGCAAATTCATTTTTTTTTCCATCTTTTAAATTATTTTCTTCATTTTCATTATTCTAACTTATCTTAATATCACTTATTTACTTATCTTATTATTTTTATTATCACTTATTATTACTTATCCATTAAATTATTTTTATATGAAAAAAATTTTTATATGATATATATATTAATATTATATTATATAACATTTGATTCATTTTTATTAAATTGTTTATATATTTTTATATTAATTAAAATTATCACAAATAAATTAATTTATAAATTCCATACTTATCAGCTAATGTAATCACAATATTTTCAGCTATCATTATTTTCCAATTTATTTATTTATTATTGCTGCTAATATTTTGTTTGCTGTATTAATATATGTTTTCTGACATTTTGATATATCTAATCTATAATTGCACTATATCTAGTAATCTATAATTGCTAAATAATAATATAAATAATTTACCTAGAATTTTGTATATGAGAAATAATAACAATTCATTATCATTATAAATATTTTTCCTCCTTATTTGCTTAACAATATTGCTTAACAATATGTTCAGATAAATGAATTTAATTACTCAATATTCCGATAATCGAAATTTTGATAAACTCTCGACAATTGATTATTTTAACAATTCTGATAATCAGATAATCGATTATTTTGATAATCAGTGTTTTGATATTGTATTGTAAATTCAAACTTACTTCATGTTGGCATCGAAGGAGATTGCAAAGAATATTCCACTCGTTTAATTCATAATTGACACGATAGTATCCAACTTCGTTAGCGTTAAATTTAATCCAGTCGATTGGTTCTTCGAATTTTATCACCACTATAAATTAATAATAATTATTAATGATTTATTTAATAATAAAATTTATTTATCATTCATAATTATTTATTGCAAAACTTTTATAAAAAAATTTAAAGTCATGTTAAATATAAAAAAATATTTCTTACAATCCTTGGAATCTTTATCAAACCAGATAAGAATAGGTTTAGATATTTTGTCTGTGATATACGTGATTGGAATAGTCCATTTATACCTTAAATAAAAAAGTACAGAACAATTAAAATATATTTTAAATTAATTTTAATTAAACAGTATTAAAATTTTATTTTAAATTTAATATTATTACCCATATTCGGATTCTGAAGCATCAATCTTAGCATCAGGATCGGTCAAAAATCGTTTTTGAGTCAATACATATGTATTGTCAGATTTTTTTACATTTACTACTGGAAATCCCTTTTGCCTGGTCCATGTGTTCATTATAGCCGTCACATTCAAGTTATCCGGTGAAGATTCTTCCAAAATCTTAAAAAGATCTGCAGTTTCTGCGTTAGCGTATATAAATTTATTTAAATAAGTAGAAATAGCACCATAAAAGACTTCTGGTTTTATGAAATTTTCCATCATTCGAATGATTGAAGATCCCTTAGAAATAAATTAAAATGTAAAATCGAATAATCTATTTGTATTATTTTTCAAGGAATAAGATGAAAAATACTAAAGTTACTTTTTTATATGATATTTCATCAAATAT